CTATTACTCCAATTTACAGGTGAGGAAACAGAAGCTTAGTAAGATTAAATAACCTACCCAAGCTATTAAGTGGCAGAATTGGATTTGATCCCAGCTCCATTTGACAACAAAGTCCAAACTATTGATCACCACATGAAATTGCCACTAAATGGTAGCAAGATATAGGGACAGCAAGCTCAAACATCAAGCTGCTACCTAAGTCCACGTAAAAAGGGCTTTTCTTAGTTGCTTCTATATGGGAACAAGGCTTTATTCTCTCTTCTCCCCTTTCTCTGTCTTAGATATTGAGACATACCATTCTCAGTAAACTTTCCTAAGTATAAAAAACTAGTTTAGTGCAAGCATGAAAAATTACCAACATATAGACTACAGAATCCACCTATATTCATTCAGCTTTGGATATAGCCAGGCAGAAAACCATATCTAGAGTATTTGAGAACAAAGAAAAAACCTGAGAATCTGACAAATAAGACTTGTAGCTTCAAATGGTCAAATTAAATGAAAGAAAATCCACCTATATTCATTCAGCTTTGGATATAGCCAGGCAGAAAACCATATCTAGAGTATTTTAGAACAAAGAAAAAACCTGAGAATCTGACAAATAAGACCTGTAGCTTCAAATGGTCAAATTAAATGAAAGAAATTCTGTCTAGATCAAGGCTAGAAGTAAGAAATATATGAGAATAAGATAGAGATTGGTCATAGCCAGGTAAAGTCATTGCTCCATCCAAATTTCTTAAACACTGTACTATTTTCCTAGAGCTGTTGTAATAAAGTATCACAGACTGGTGCTTAAAACCACAATACTTGTCTCACTGGAGGCTGAAGTCTGAAACCAAGGTGTCAGCAGAGCCATGCTCCCTCTAAAACCTGTAGAGTTTTTTTTCTGTCTTCCTAGTTTCAGGGTGGTTTGATGGCAAACTGTGGCATTCCTTGGCTTGCATAACTCCAATCTGCCTTTGTTGTCACATGGCATTCTCCCTGTGCATCTCTGTCTTCACATGGCCATCTTTTTATGAAGACTCCAGTCATATTGGATTAGGGGCCCACCCTAGTCCAGTATGACCTCATCTTAAATACTTACATCTGCAAAGACCCTATTCCCAAATAAGGGCACATTCTGAGGTACTGAGGGTTAGGACTTCAATGTATCTTATTTGGAGGGACATATTTCAACCTGTAATAAGCACCTATGATGTAACATTGTTGTGCTAGTGGCTGAACAAAACACAATTCCTGCCTGCAAGGTGACTACAGACTTGTGGAGAAAAAGACAAGTAAATAGTTTCAAATGTGCTACAATGGGGTAGTATGGGGTACAATTAAGGAACTGAAGATCAGGGATCCTTAATTCAGACTAGGTGGGGATAGGGGCCAGAGAAGATGTCCTAGAGGAGGTAATGTCCACACTTAGACCTGAAAGTGGTAGTTGCCAGATAAAAATAGAGACAGGATAGGGAAGAAAGTGTTTGAGGTAGAGGAAACAGGGTGTGCAAAACCCTAGAAGCTACTGCATTGCTAAGTATTCCCCAGTTCTTATAGATCAGCTGCAAAAGAAGCTAGAAACCTTGGGTGTGACCCACTGAGACA